TAAAACTCGAAATAAAAAATAAATACGATTTATTTTTATATCCCCATATGCTTTATTTTCGTCCTTTATTTTTTATTTGACCAATTTTCTTTTAACAAGATTAAATTCTGAATTCGTTGAGCTTTTTGAGAATATTTTTATTTGAATGTTAGGTAGGTACCTATATTAGTTTTTCAGTAGTAATCGTTTTTGTTGCGATAGTCTCGCGCGGTCGTAAAAAAAGTTACTTCGCGGACAGGTGGGACGAGAATCACTTGCGCGGCGTTGACGGTTCGGTGGATAGGTACCTACCTACTGTTATTACCTAAATACCCATAACCTACTATACAACAAAATTTGACAAACTGTCGCTGCGTCGTGGACACTAAAATGTAAACTGCCTAACTACCTGCCTAAGTACGTCGGTACTAAGGAAACAGTCTTGACGGGTCACTTGTCTTGATAAAAATATGTGTTTACATCTAGTGATATTGTGTGTATATAAAAAAGTAAGAAGACAGGTAAGTATTATTGAAAACAATTTATATGTAGGCAGAACTAATTACAATTATTATCTAAATATTATAAATGCGAAAGTTTGGATGGATGGAATCTGGATGATATTTAGCTCAGAGATAGGTTATACCTAGTCTGGAATAACACATTTGATACCGTTTATTCAGGTATTTCGTTCCTGTGGGATAATTTTCGAGTTCACGCGTTTGAAATCGCTGGCAACAGCTAGTACGGATATAAACTGCGATGACTGTTCCAGTTCATACTTCGGCGTCGTGAACTCTTGAGTGATCGCTGCATGACCACCCGGGGAAAACTAAACATAATAAAATAAGCAATCTATATTAGGTATCTATAGAGCCATAGAGGTATAGTATAAAGCGATAACGCAGCGCCTAATAATTTAGTACGAGTGGCACGATGCCAGGTGAGACAACGTGCTTTTTGGCCGCGCCCACCAATGAGTTCGAGCCCGCGACTTGTGCCACCTACGCAATTCCTTTGTATAGTGCGACGTTGCCACTCTTATTAGTTATTCCGCTTTGTAATATTTTATTTATAGGTGATATTTTGTTTATTTTTTAGGTATTCGATAGATTCCTATAGTCTGTTTTTTTCGCAGGAGACAAAAATAACAGATATTTATTAGATTCGTTTAGCACGAATAATACAGTTTTTATGATTCTGGTTCAGATTAGATTTAATTTTAGTCACTTAAATTTCGTATATTGTTCAAAATAATGAAATAAATCCACAGAATCTGCAGTTACGAAAAAAAGCAATATCATTTTAGTCTCCGGCGAAAAAAAAAAGATATATATCATGATTAATTTACCAACTAGTTATTCGTTTACTAAATACGAAAAAATATTTAGACGTCATTTTTCTTCCAATCTTGTTGTACTGAATATTTACGTGGTCCTTATATTAATAATTATAATTGCATAAGTTGATACAAAATGCTATGCAATAGCTTTACCGCGGCAGTCCCCGAGTGCCACACGTCTTTTTTAAAATTATCAAACAATCATCAAATTCTTTACGTAATTGTACTGATTCCTTAAGTTTTTGTTGCAAAATGCTTTTAGTTCGCTTATCATAACTTAATTTACCTAAATTATTTTTAATATTTTTGAATTTTTCATATATTATTATTAATTCACTAGACATGGAAATACAGTTAAAAAACATCGTTATCAAAATACTTTATGGTGTATACATATAAGGCTATTTTTATTATTTTTTTAAACTTAAACTATAACATATTTTTCAATTTAAACCTCATATTTTCAATTTGATGCATTCGTTGTCTCACGGCGGTCCTCGTGGCGGCATTCACAACATACACGAGGTACACTAGGTCCTGGGTCCGGTGACCGCACAAAAGAACGACGCAAATTGTGCACTACCATCTCATTCCACATCCAGCTTGTATGGCAACTTTTGTGTATTTTGTATACACCGTAGAGAAGAGCCAAGCCCAAAACTGTGCATATTATAATCAGCACGACGGATATCCCAGATAAGTGGCTTTTAATTTCTTCTATATGTGCAGAATTTGAGCCTCCTGAAGTGTCTTGCTTGATGAACACTTGGTCTTTCTTGAGTTCAGAATGACACATTTTTTTTAAATATAAGTTCAATATTATTTATTATTCATTTTCGTACTTAATTTGAATTCCACATATTTTTGAACGCGGCCCGCGACCGAACCCAGGCAGACCGCCGATGAACTGGCAGGGTCGCCATGTAGTGTTGGGTGGTTCGGGGAATAAATAAAACGTCCAGTAGTCTAGACTGTAGGTTTAATACTAATCCTCTCTTATTCTATCCTATATATACATATATATATATATATATATATATATATATATATATATATATATATATATATATATATATGCCCCCAGATGCTAGGTTATTGAATTTTATTAGCAATAATGCGATGAGATTTTCAGTAAATTCAATCCATTAAGAATGAATTTTGATGAACCACTGTAAATGTGCATGTAATATGTTTATCAATAAAGATAATTATTTCTTTAGGTACATTATCATAAATTTGTGCTATCGAGATGTATTGAAAAACTACAGAAAATTTGTCAATTTTTGACAGGTCTTCTTTAGGCACATTGGACACTATTTGATTTTATTGGGTTTTTTTTTTCTTGGGAAGTACGGCCTAAGGGTTTAAGTGAGATCGTGGATAATATTTTACGAATTTTGCTTACACTCGTTCGGGGCCCCTATAGTTCGGAGGCCCCGTATCATTGATACGGCTGATACGGCGCGGCGGTAGCTACGCCCCTGGATAGCAATAAACTATGTGGTAAACGGGACAGGGACAGGGCAAGTTAAGGATAAATTAGGAGCTTAAAGAACGTACAAATTACATTGAAAAGGAGAGTTTTGTGACGTGCACCATAATATATTGCAATTATTTTCATTAAATTACATTTTCCACTAAGGCCGAACATGCTGAACCAGAAATGATTATTCTAAGGGAAATGCCTAATGCAAAAGTGATATTCTTAATCAATTAATCAACCGTAATCAACCGTAAACTACTAAAGTATCAAGTATAATGTAATCTTAACAAAAAGATCTAGAATCTATCAAACAGAACAAGAGTGGTATTTTCCCGATTCCCCCTCTCCCTCAACATGGTAGCGAGTTAAATAGATATCCCAGGAGGGTACCAGCGCATCTGGTGGCAGAGAAGTCCTCGCTGAGTATCCAAGCCCAAACTACCCTACTCTTCCTGAGCGTGGGTGCTCAGGCTGCCCCGGGTATTCTGCGAGGGGGCCAAATTCCGCTCGTGACTAAACCTGCTCGGGCTAACGGAGCAATAAGACAAAGGCGCCACCTGTCACGCTATCCGTGAATTTCTGCAACATCATTAGTGTATTCGATCCCTAAAAAGGCGACCGCTCAGATTCGTCTGACTACAGGCCTATCGCTATCACCTCCTTGTACTCCAAAATAGTGACATTCATTATAAACTGCCGGCTTATGAGCTCACCAGCCTTGTGGATCAGCAGCTGATTAGTGACCGCCAGTACGGTTTCCGTCAGGGTCGCTCAGCTGGTGATCTTCTGGGTTACCTTACTCATAGACGGCGTTAGCAGTTTGGACATAGTGAAGGCCTTCTTTCGGATTTGGTACAAAGCTACTTCTTACGAAGCTTCCTTCCTGTGGGCTTCCCGAGAAATTCTGCAATTGGATCACCAGTTTTCTTGCAGATTGGAGCATCAAGATCGTAGTAGACGGTACATGCTCCGGTTACAAGCCCATTAACGCTGGTGTTTCACACGGCTGCGTGCTATCACCAACGCTGTTTCTTCTGCATATCAATGATATGTTGCAAACCGGTAACATTCATTGCTATGCGGAAGACAGCACTGGTGATTCTTTATACACCGGCCGTGCCAATATTTCTCGGGGAAACGTTGCCGAGTACAGAACAAAGTTTTGTCTGAAGACGAGACTTTGTTGAACAAACTGGACTAAATCTAGTTCAGTTCAATCCCCAAAAGACACAAGTTTGCACGTTTACCGCTTAAAAGAACCCCTTCGTCGTATCTCCTCTGTTTGAGGGCACTCCCTTTGTTGCCTCAGCCAGTATCGGAATCATCTGCGTCGACATATCGAATAATGTGTAGTGTTGTGGTCACTTGAAAGAGAAGGCCAAATTTACCTCTAAAACGCATGGTGAGCTCAGCAAAGCAGAACATTATTTCATGCCAGCACACCGCCTGCAATCTCACAAGGCGTAGGTTCGGCCGCACATGGAATACTGTTCGCATCTCTGGGCTGCGGCTCCCCAGTTCCAGCTTCTTCCATTTGATCGCCTTCAGCGCAGAGCCGTTCGAATCGTTGGCGACCGAGCTCTTTCCGATCGGCTTGACTCACTGGCACTGCGAAGAGATGTTGCGTCTCTTTGAGTATTTTATCGCATTTACCGCGGGGAGTGCTGTGAAGAATTGTCCGGACTAATTCCAGTCGCACAATTTCGCCATCGCACATCGCGACAAAACTCGCGATACCATCCATACTATGTGGATGACTGACGGTCCACTACCATGTAATTTAAAAGAAGTTTTCTTTCTCGCACAACTTCCTTGTGGAATCGACTACCATCAGATTTTTTACGGACCGATACGACTTAGAGACCAGGAGGAATTAAAGAAAAGAGCCTACTCCTTTTTAAAAGGCCGGCAACGCACCATCAGGTGCCCACTGCTCGTTTGCCCCTCTCCTATAAAAAACAAAAAAAAACAATAATTATAAAGGACAGTCGACTGTTATTTTAATATTTATTAAACCTTTTAAACAAATCACTATAAATACATTCTTTTTAAAATAGATAATATTAAATGCACACAATATCAGAATCAATTTTATCATTTTGGATATAAAATAAAATAGGTACTAAATTGATAATATTTTTTCTTAATAATTAATTAAAATACTAATTACTTTTGCTATTTTCAATTAGTAAGAGATTAATATTTGTCATCTTTTTCATAATCTTTGCCCTCTTGTTTATCTTCGCCCATCGCTTCCCAGTAGGACGGAGGCGGATCGAGATAGTTTCTGTCCCCAGTATTGCCAACTTGAATGGGAATTTGTAGCCGTGCATTAAAATGTGGAAAAGGGAGCTCTACAGTTATATGCACAAAATAATCTCTCGCTACAATGTTAGAGAAATCAAGTGATTTCCTGTCTGGAGGCCCAACGATGTCAACACGCATTGCCAGACTTTCGTTGCGTTTAATTGATCCTGTTTTGGATTTTGTTTGCGGAACGTCATAACTTTGTATTACTGTTTGGGACGTTGTTGTGAATTTAAATACTTCCAAAATTTTCGTTTCCACCGCTTTCACTGCAACGTTTGTATCATTCGTTACTTCATATTCCAACTGTACTTTCTCACCAGGAGCAATTACTGATTTCGCTACAATTGCTTTTATGGTAATAATACTATTCTTACTGCTAAACAACTGCCTTAACTTTTTCTGCTCTCCGCATATAACAGGTACAAGTGGTAGCCTCGGAGATATTCCAGATTCCACAATAATCTCTTTTTTGAAATTTTTATTAAATTTCCAAAAACCGGGTCTCTCAAATTTGATGCAGACGTGATATAGAATATTACAACATATAGCGTATTGGAGTGTGCTATTCGAGTAGTGAAACGTCGGCGGAATATTGTATGGCAACTGAAAACTAAACGGTGTCTCATACGACCCTATTGTAATTATAGTATTTTTACCTGTTTCTGTAATAACGTTTTTTACATTAAGGTATTCCTCACTACTCCAGTAGCTTTCTTCCTTGCTCTTGTTGTTGCCTTTTTTCTTTAAATTCAATTTACCTTTACCTTTTAAAGACACAGTAATTTGGGTGCAAGTCATTTCTTTGTCTACAGCATATCTTATCACTCCTCTGACTGTACTCCCAGCAATAAATATTCCATCACATGATTTGAATAAGTTTATTTCGCAGAATATTCCCATTTCAGCACAAAGCTATAAAATTATAACATAGATGACACTTTGTTGAATGAATATTTTAATGGTCAGATGCTCTTTGAGGGTCGTTCTTGAAGCGTTCGTATATATTATATATATTTAATTTTATTCGTAAATATTTATCACAGATCACTAAACTGTGACTATTATATTAATGAGATTATTTAAGAAAGGTAACGAAAGAAAACGAAAGAAATCTTATGATATTACAGAGTAAGTAGTGTATATGAACACCGCCTTCACTAAGTCTAGCTTTAAACTGCCACGCAACGAAGTGAGGTGAGGTGTGTAATCATTTCACCAGATATATAAATATCTTTGTACGTCGAATATGAATACCTATCACGTTTTATCGTTTATGGTTGTCCATATCACTTTCGACTCAATTTACATGTAGGTACAAACACTGATTATTTTTATATAATATCAATTGATAATCAATATAAAATAGTAAAGTGTCATCGGTCTAACTTTAGATTAAGTGTGTTATCAAGATGTTTAGCCCATTTTGTTACAAAAAACTCTATTTTTGTCCTACACATCAGTACATTTCTTTCGTATACTCTGTAGCTCTGTACCTATAAGATTATAAAACATGTCAGTATATATTTTTCCTTTTTAAATCTACCTACCCATTTTTATGTTTAAGCCCATTAATTTTCTTTCGGTTTATAATTTGTAATTATGGCCCGCCTGCCACTAAACTTAATATTTTACTTAGGCTTTCAGCTCATAATATAGTATGTTAAATCAAAGTATAGTTTACTTTGTTTATAGATTTGTTTTTAAATTTTGTTTTATTTACTCAATCTTGTTTCGGTCTTTTGGTGAAGGAGGATGCTACTGCGAGGTCGTTGCTCATGAACTTTTTCCAAGACAAGTGGCAAACAATTGTTAGTGTACCACTCTGTAGTAACAGTTTTCTGCAGTAAGGATAGAATCCTTTAAAACAATTGTTGCGTAATGACCTTTACTTTTGTGAAGAGAGGTCGAAGCGTGGAAACAACTGAAGTTGGTATCTTCTCGGAAGGAAACACCCAGATAGCAGACTGTCTCTTAGTTTCAGGACCATAACTAAGTATAAATCCAGCTTTCGTCACCCGTAAGTATTTTGAATACAGCATTTGCGTCACCTCCGTAAAATCTTTGAACCATTTCACCACGACACCAATCAATACGACGGAGTTTATGGGCCTCTGTCAAATTATGAGGTATCCACCGGGTACAAAGCTTCCTGACCGCTAAATGTTCATGGAGGGTTTTGTGCACTTCACTTATACCGATGCCTAAGCTTGTCCAAATCTGCTGATAAGTCACTCTTTTATCAGTCTCTATCATACGCCTCACAACAATGATGTTATCTTCAGTCGTCGCCGTAGAAGGTTGTCCCTCACGCAGATCATTGATGAGATTAGTGCGACTACGTTTAAACTCATTAAACCAGTTGTAAACAGTGGCACAAGATGAAGTTTCATCGTGAAAGGCCATTCGAAGTCTATCATAACTTTCTTCTTGACTTAAATTACATTTAAACTCATAAAAAAATAATTGTACGAAAATTTTTTCGTGTTAAATTCATACCGACGTGACACAGACAAACAGACAATTTTCTATTTGCCGCCAAACTAAATTGTAAACAATTCACAAATTAATAAAAAATGTAATATTGACAAAGAGTTCCATTTTCAAAATTTCAACTTATTTTTTCATTATATCGTTCACAAGTAGTCAGTCTTAAACTTTCAGTGTCGCTCTCGTAATATAACTAGGTAGCTGGAGCATGTCCCTACAACGAAAAGATCTCAATCTCGTGATACTGACAATTTCATACAACTTTTCGTAGAGCAAAGGTGTTGAATAATTTGCTAGTACCTCTCTGTTTTTTTCAATTTGCAACATAGATTGCATTGCAAGCTTAATCATCGCGCTTCGTTATTTTCGGCTACACCACCACTATCAGTCATAGATTTTTTTTTAATAAGCATAGTGTACTAGCTGAAGAGCAAAACAGTTTCAAAGCGAATAAATCGATAATTCTTGCAGCCTACTGTTTAATAAAAACAATAACAGAAAACATAGACAAGAAGGTGCCAATTGTGTCTATATTTTTCGATATGAGCAAGGCTTTTGATCTTGTAGATCATGATACTCCTAACTAAATATGAAAGATGCGGTATAAGAGGAAATGCTCTGAACTGGATTAGCAGTTACCTTTCTTATCGTTTGCAATGCGTAGAAATCAGCAAGATCAATAAAAATCATGAAATAGTTTCATATAAATCAGCTCTTCTACATGATAAATACGGTGTTCCACAAGGGAGGGTCATGGCCCATTGTTTTTTTTTAATTTATATAAATGATTTACCTAAATTAATTAACTATCCATCAGTTTTATATGATATGCAGATGATTTATCAGTGATAAGTCCAAACCATGCCAAAGCCGTAAGCTACAACCAAACCATCAATGGAACACTTAAATATATAAATGAATGGCCACGCCAGAATAAATTGTGTGTAATAAATTGTTAAAATCAAAATTTATACAGTGTTCACACTATAATTCAAATCAACTGAATGAACATAGTTTTCCAAGAACAAGAAATTAAAGAAACAGAGGATACCAAATTTTTGGGGATTATTCACACACATATAAAGCATTTGCAAAAAATTGAGCAGATTCGTATACGTCTTTAGACGTTTAAGATATTATATAGCTGGAGAACAAAAGGCGTTAACCGCATATTACGCTTATGTTGCATCAGTGCTGAGATATGGCCTTATATTATGGGGAAATTCTCCAGATATAAGTAAAGCATTTATTATATAAAAAAAATGTGTAAAAGCTATTTCAGGAGCAGTGCCAAGTGATACTTACCGACCATTATTTAAAGAATTTAAATTATTGACGTTAACAGGCCTCTACATCTTAGAAGTAGGACTTTTTGTTAGAAATCAGCCACAATTATTGTTTCAGAAATTTGAAATGCTCAATCCACGGCTACGCCCTAGAGACACTAACCGCCTTTTGGCTCCATCATGTTAAAGTTCAATTTTTGAAAAACAAAATTGCTATTGTCCGTTCATCTTAACTTGACGCGTGAGTGATTGGTAGCACTGTTTCCTTAGCCGTCATTTTTCTTTGAACTTGATCGGTTGCTATCTGTGTGCTCTTTTGCTTCTTAATTATGTAATCTTAGTTTTAAAAATGCTGAAAGTGGTTAAATTTGCTAAACGACAAACTATTCTTCAAGTTTATGCATTTTTGTAAAAAGAAAAGGCTGAAAACAAGTTGATTTAGCCATTGCAACATGTTCGTGCCCGAATTGCCGCCATGACCGGTATATTTTTAGGGTGACCAGTTACAAAGATTTAGACTAACAGCAGTTTGTAAAATGCTAAATGATATTATAATAATTGTATGTGAAGAAATAATATATATATATATATATATATATATATATATATATATATATATATATATATATATATATATATATATATATACACGCGATAACTGTACGAAAAGAAATTCCTACGTTGAACAAATTACTTGTCGAATAGCGATATGAAATAAATTTTAAAGGTGTGTGTACTACACTATGGAAAATGTTAAAACGACTAGGATATAAATACAAAAAGTGCAAATCAAAACGAAAAAATTTAGTGAAACGAACAGATATATCTGCCTGGCGATTTAATTACTTGAATAAAATTGAAAGAATATCGAGAAGAGAGGCGGACTATAGTCTACTTAGATGAAACATTTATGCATTATTCTTAAGTCTGAGTTACTGCTATTCGAGTCACAAACTAAATCATCAGACTACCATAACGACTGTTTTACCAAACCTGCCACGTAATTGTGTGATTGTGATGGACAATGCACCATATCACACTGTTCAAACATATAAAAGCCCTAATATGGCAAGCCTCAAAGTAGATATGGTAGAGTGGCTTCAAAACAAGGGACTGTTGTTTTCACCAAATTTGCCAAAAATGTTTTATATGAATTAATAAAAAAAAACCCATGTATAAAGCTGTAAAATTAATTAAATCACATGGTCATAACGTTTTGCAACCGTCCCCATATCATGCGCATTTAAATCCAATTGAGGTGATGATGATCAAAAGTAATCACTTATAAAAAAATTGTTTGGCTCAATAAGCAATCAGCTTTAGAATAAAGAGTGCTCACATGTTACAAAAATTGAAGATGAGTACATAGTGAAAGATAAAATAATAGTTGAAGGAAGTGATCGCTTTTTATTGTGGATTAGCAGTGACACTGACGAAAGTGATAGTGACAATGAGCATCCAAGTAACATTGAAGAAAATATGATCACTTTACACCTTATTGATCATAATTATATAAAGTGATTCTTTTAACCCTGTCCTAATTAATTTAACCTGAATGTCCCCATTGATATATGAATTGTTTCAGAGAGTACACTATGACACTTAAAAAGATAAGTATAGTCATCAGCACCTCCGTAGTAACAGTTGAATTTCGAAATTAATGCCCTTACTCATACGAAATAAAGACGTTTTTAAGGCTTAACTGTTAGCCCTAACTGCGTTCGACTGTACATGCCAAGTTTGAACCCGCAACCTCGTGCTTGAGATGCATGCATACATGCTCTTATATCCCGTTCCATAATACCTGTCCCTACATTTCGGGAACGCCATTCGCATTGAAACATGCAACACTGTAAATTACAGGGCTACCAATCGGATCACGCGTCAAGTTACGATGAACGGACAATACTATACATGATGACTTTTAAAATTTATAACAAAATTCCCTCTGATATCAGGGAGTTATCTTCCTCTCTTTATAAAGGCTCTAAAGTCATGGCTGATTGATAAATGTGTATATAGTTTAACAGAATATTTTAAGATAACATAATACCTATGTATGTACATAATTAATTATAAAATCATCAAATTTATTATATTAATATAAAATTTACTTTAAGGAAATTA